CCTGCCCCACCACTGCCCTCGGTGCCTGCCCTTCTGTGTCCCACTGCCTCACAGGGGCCCATCCACCTCTGTGATTTTCCTCCCTGCTAGCAGACAAGTGGGGCTCCGAGGAGGTGGCAGCTTGGCTGGAAGCGCTCGGGTTAGGGGAGTACAGAGAAATTTTTGTCCGGCATGACATCCAGGGCTCTGAGTTGATCCTGCTGGAGAGGAGAGACCTGAAGGTACAACCCTTCTTGTGCACTGCTTGCTTGGCTGGCATGCAGGGGGTGGGAACAGGGGAGGGGGCTGGCCCTGGCCATCCAGCTTGCAAAGCTCTGAATGCCTATAGCAGGATCAACAGTACCATGCCTGCTCCTGCCCCAAGGCATGGGGACATGCCTGTAAGAGGACAGAGGGTTCCTAGCAGGGAGCGTGCTCTGGCAGGGAGCATGGGAAGAGCTGGGGTTTGCAACCCTGTCCTCCATGCTGCAGCTTGCGCACAGCAAGAGCTGGGCCACTATGAGCACAGCAGCAGCCCTCTCTCCTCCCTGCAGGACCTGGGCATCACCAAAGTGGGCCACATGAAGAGAATCCTCCAGGCCATTAAGGAGCTCAGCAACCTGCTCTAGGCCATGCTGTGTGCTGCCCATAAGGAACCAGGGGTCGGGCAGGGGGGGGCGCAAGGTCCCTGCTGTGCCCTGTGCGTGTGGAGCGCCCCTGCTTGCCTTGCTTTGTCTGTTTGTCCCCCACTGTCCCTGGAGCCGCCGCTTGTCCCCAAGCCTGTGGGGCTGGAAACACTGAAACTGAGGTCTAACCCTCTATACAGCCCCTGGCAGCATCACTAGAGGAGCTGGGGCTGCTGTGTGTGTGCCCAAGCTGTGGCCAAAGCAGAGATTCCCCGTTCCCACATGGGTATTTAAGCTGTGTAAATATCTGGAGAAGAGACAGAGACACTCATTGCTGCTGCTTGTGTAGTGTCATTACTGAGGGGAAGCCATGGGGTGTGTGGGGGTGAAGGGACTTAGCTCCTTCCAGCCTTCACCCCTCAGCTTCCTGCTCCCCACCATCCAACAAGCTTCCTGCTTCCCATCATGCACCAATCCACTAGCCCCTACCCCAACCCAGCACGGGGAACTGCAGCGTAGTCTCCACCATCACTGCCCGTGGTCCCAGCACCAACACCAGCCACCACATAAGACAAACACAGTATTTTATTCACAGCTACATGAGTTTTCTTTTTTTTTTAATCCCACTCCCTCCCCTTTAGTTAAAATTGTTCTTTATGTACATGGTGCTCCCTCGCCAGAGAGGAGCTATTTACAGGCTATGTACAGAGACAGGGCTAGCAGCTCTTCAGTATCTCCTCCAGCTTGAGCATGTCCATGGGGGTGACCTTGGCAACCTCAAAGAAGACCCTGGAAGGAAGCTCGTTGGCTTAGACCTCAGCTACAGCCCTGTCCCCACCTATCAGGGCCCCACGGTTCCCTGCAGCACCCCAGGGCACATGGTGGTGGTGCCACCCTGCACGGAGAGGGCAGAGCCCTGTGACGCTCACCTGTGTGAGTACTTGGTGCGCACAGCCTTCAGCTTGTCCCGGGGCTGGTATGTGAGCAGGAAATTCAGCCTCTTGACCAGGGGGTGCAGGTCCTGGGAACGGTACCCACTGTAGTACTCCAGCGTGGGGGTCTGCAAAGTGACAGCAGGGCTGGGCTGGGTCCTCTCAGTGAGAGCATAGCTGTCATCTTCCCTCTCCAGCCCCCAAACCTGAGCATAGTGCTGGAGCATCACCCATGTGCACTGGTCCATCCACTCCCGCACCCCGTGGTGCCTCCCCAGGCACCTCAGCAGGGACATGGGGCTGGGCAGGTACTTCCCCAGCCACCAAGGTTCTTCATGGTGAGCGCCAGCAGCAGGCAGCTGGCAGCCAGCTTTGAGGGGCTCTCCCGGGCATAGTCATACTCCTGCAGGGTCATCTCACAGAGGAAGCGGGCCAGCGTCAGCGTCTCCATGGTGGCACGGGCGCACTGTGGCCAGGCAAGCATGCAGGGAAGGCCTCAGCCTCTACAGCAATGCTGCTTCCTCCCCCTTCCCCCCCTTTTGGGGATCTAGTGTTGCCTCTGGGGTACAGGACACAGATCCCACACCCCACCAGCATCCTCACTCCTCAATCCTGGCCAAACCCTTCCTTGTTGTGAGCCCCAGGCCTCAGGGATGCATGTCACCCCCCTGGGGAGCCAGCACATGGGGTGCTTGGAGGCACTGTGAGACCAGCCCATCCTCCTGCTGCACCCACCTTGGCAAAGCGCCGTAGGAAGCGGTAGGGGATGGGGATGTTGATGTCGAACTTGAGGGTGCTGAGGATGCTCATCTCCATAGCAATGAGCTCTTCCCGCTTGTAGGCATCGTCACAGATGTAGAGGAAGTCATCCACGCATGGCGGGCACCGCTCCTAGTGGGGCACAACCACTCAGCACCCTAACAGGGCTCATCCAGGCACCACCCAGGAAACCCTACCAGTCTACAGGCCCTGTAAGGGTTCATGCCTTGCCAGACCCTGAAAAGACTGTTACAACACCCACTGGGCCTTGTGTGTCTCCTGCACTGCCCCAGCCCTTGGCAGTGACTCAAAGCCTTGCTTGCCTGAGGGGAGCTTGGATGTCCTGGTGATCTCTGGCAGAATAGAGAGAAGGCAGGTCTCCAGTGACACCAGGAGACAGGATCCAGCCCACCAGGACTGCATTTGCAGCCCTTTGGCATAGGAAGGGTCAACACAAGGACAGGCATGCCACCCCAAGCTGCTCCCAGGGCAGTGGCCTGGCACCACAGGGACCTGGCCTTCTCCAATGACCTGTGGGGATCAGGAACGTACAGCCCCCTCCACCCCAGCACAGCACACGAGGAGTCACCTCAAATTTGGAGGCAATGAGTATGGCAGTGGAGCCGATGAGCTGCAGCTTGTCCCTCATGCTCACCACCTCCACCAGGTAGTGGTCCACCAGCTTCACAGCCAGATACAGCGTCTCGTGGTTCAGCTCAAAGTTCTCCTGCAGCGATGGGGTCAGGAGGCAGTGTCAGGCAGAAGCCAGACCCACCTGGCCCCCCCAGCTCCATCTCAGGGACCAGAAGCGCCCATGGGGCCAGGCTTACCCCCAACCTGGGGAGTGGCAAGGTCAGCTCTGCACTGGGGACACCCACAGGTGCCTCTGCCACCACACTGAGATCCTCCCCCTGCCAAAGGCGGGTTGGGGTAGATCTGCAGAAGGCCGTGCCTCCTCCCCATGCCCTAGTACATACCTGCACCTCCACCATCCAGTCCACCAGGATGGCACGCATGTCCCCGCTGATGTCTGGTTGCTTCTCCATGTAGTCAGGGAGTATAAACTTCTCCTGCCAAGGTACCAGCTGTCAGGGACTCACCGGGCACCAGCACCCTCAAGCGAGCCCCCTCCTGCCCCATGCACACCTCCAGGCAGCGGCTGGCCCTGCTCATACCAGTGCATGCCCCAGCAGGCATCACCCACCTCTCTTCCCTGCATGTACTCGAAGATGTCCTTGGCGTACTCGGCATTGGCATAGGGGTCACCCAGCTGCTCCTTGTCAATGTCCTCCACAGCAGGCACCTGGTGGGACAGAGCCAGCAGTCAGGGGACAACCTTGAGCCCTGTGTGTGCTGGCCACTCCTTCAGGGCAAAGCTGCTGGACCTCTGGTCCCCATCACCCTG